CCGCCCGTCCCCGTCCGTCCGCCCGCCCGTCCCCCCGTCCGACCGTCCGTCAGTCCGCCCGCGCTCAGGCGCTCCCCGTCGCCGGCCCTGTCTGTCTCTCTCCTTTCTCCCGATTACAATTTCTAGTCACACGGCAGTGCAGAGCCAGGCTGTGCCGCCAGCCCCACCCTCCCTCCTCTCTCCTTCCGAAAGGGAAAGGGGAGGGCGCCGCTCCTCCCTCCTCTCCCTCCTCGCCCCTTCCCTGCAGGGGGAGCTCCCCCTCCCCCGCTAATCAAAGGCCCCGTTATCTAATTAACCCATTGGTTCTGGGCAGCAGGGAGGTCAGGAAGCGGGGGAGGAAGGTGCCGCTGGGTTGCCCAGGGGAGGGGGGTCTGGCCAAGCCGCCCAGCGCACACAGCAGCCTCCCTCATCAGAGCCTGGCCTCGCGGAAACCCCCAGGCCACCGCCACCTCTCCTGCCCCTGCCCAGCCCAGGGCAGCCCACCTAGCCCGGGCCCCAGTCAAGTTGTCCCCCTTGGGCCCCAGGAGCTCCCCAGAGCCCCCCACCACTCTGCAAGGCACCTTGCTGGGCGCCCCACCCCCACCGCCCATGTCTGCCTCCCAGGGCCAGTGCTGCCCAGAGGGCCAGGCCTCCACACAGCAGGCACAGAAGGGCAGCGGCCGGCCAGGTCCCACTCCCCACCAGCCAGCGGCGCGGGCTGGGCACCCCCCTGCAGCTGCCCCCACCCTGCCAGCAGCGAAACTTCCCTACTATGCGCCAGACGTGGGTGCAGATGCCCACAAGTCCTCTGCACGCAGCTCAAGCCCCAGGGCACGGGGCCACAGAACTCGGGCAGCAGAGCCCCCCCAGGCCCGGAGAGCGGTCTGCAGCCTGGTCTGCTGGCCGCTGGCCCTGCGGCCGGGTCAGTGACTTCATCTCCCTGGCCGCGGCTTCCTCCCGAGTAGGGTGAGCACAGGGTTGCCTCGCCCTGCCCCCCCCACAGCAGGTCTGCAGGCTGCCCAGCCGCTGGGGGGCTGTGGCCCCTCACTGCTCCCGCAAGCAGCCAGGGAGCCCTCCAGGACCCCCCCATCCCGCTGGGCGGGAGGGCGCCGGTGCCCTGGGGTGACAGACCCCTGCGGCTCCCACACTGCCCTGCGGCCCTGTCCCTGCTGCCCGCTGGGCAGCCAGCCGCTGGCCCTTAGCTGCCGCCTCAGGCCGAGCGAGCGCTCTTCCTGGGGCCCGGGCTCGCGGCCGGCCTCCCGGGTCCTCGGTCTCTCGGTCTCAGCTCAGACATCGCCATGCCACCACCTCAAACAACACCCCGCCCCTCTCCAGAACCTTCTCTGTTTTCACACTGAAATGTCAGCTCCTGTGGCTTGGCTAACTCCGGGGGGGGACACTGGATGCAGCCACCTCTGGCCCCCCACGCCGGCTTCTGACGTCACGCAGACCTGCTAGCCGCTGTGGCTGCAGGCTGGACACCACCATGGCCCCGACGAGGCAGGCCGGCAGCCCCTGCACCCCACTACGCACCCGAGCCCTGAGGGCCGCACCCCACACGGGCTTCACGAGCCACACCTGGGTGAAAAGGAATGCTGGGGAGCCGCCTCCTCTCAGCGGGACCCCAAGCCAGGCCTGGCGCCCCGGCACCGGCTGGGCCCCGTGCAGGGAGTGGGGTTCTCGTGCCCCTGTCTCACAGACAGGGAAGACGGGGAGGCAGAGTCACCCGCCCAGCATCGAATGCACTGCCCTTCCCAGGCCAGCTGCCAGGGGCCGGGGTCCCAGGGACCCCCTTGGGGGCACCCCAGCCCTCTCCAGGGGTGTCTCTGTCTCCTGACTACGAGGGAGACAGAGAGAAAGCCCCGTGGTCCCTGGCTCTGGGCAGAGGGAGCAGCGGGTGCAAAGGCCCTGGGGTGGGGGCGGAGACCCCAGCAGGCCCCCTCCGGCCAGCGCGGCCAGCTCTGCCTCCCCCTGCCGGGGCCTGCACCCCGCCGGCCACGGCCCTGCCACGTGCCCCCAGCAGTGAAGGGGAGCCCCTCTGGGGAGCAGCTCTCAGTCCACTTTACAGATGGAGAAGCAGATCCAGACACCCACGGAGGGTCACCCGGGCCCAGGCCGCGGCCAGGCTGCCAGGCCCCTCCCGGCCCGGCCACCCCGCTCCTCGGGCCCAGAGGGAAGCGGAGAACGAGAGGCAGGAGGCAGCAGGCCTGGCCACCGCAGCAAGGGGCCGTGAGTCTGGGGGGCAGCACGCAGCCGGCGAGGGACCCCCAGGCCCCGCCCAGCCCTGGCAGCGCGCAGGAGCGGATTCGGATTCGGATTCGGGCAGATGGCAGCTCGGAAGCCGGGAAGCCGGGGCCGGGGAGGCGGGGCGAGCAGAAGAGGGAGGCCGGACGTTCCTGTCAGACACACTCGTTTTTCTGGGGGAAGTTCAGAAGGTGAGAGAAAAGTCAGGAAACGGACAGCGCGAGGGATGGAGGTCAGATCTAAAGGAGAACTTCCCCACTGCGCGGGACTGGGGCGGGAGCGGCGGGTGCGGGGGGCGGCGGCATCAAAGGCGCGAGCCGGGGCACTTCTCTCTCCGATGGCGCCCGGCGGCCGGAGCTGGCCGGCGGGGGAGGCCGTGGGCAGCGGGGGGACGGATGAGGCGACTGTCACCTATGCCCGAGCCAGCCCGAGTCCTGAATGCTTTGAAAATCCCCGCGATGGCCAGCTGACAGTGGACGTCCTCGCACTGCCCGGCGGGAGCCCCAGGGCCAGGCCGCCCAGCCCCCACCATTGCTGGGGACGGGGTGGGGTGGCGGCCGGCCACTTGCCTGGGTCCCCAGACAGGGGGGCCAGACTCTTCAGAGCCTGAGGGCCGGAGGGGGCGTCCCCGGGCCTCCCAGGAGCCCCACGCTGGGGCAGGGGCTGGCCGGTTCCCTGCCGCTTCTGGAGCTCACATATTTACTGGGGGCCCCTGCCCCCTCCCTGGCCCCTCCCGCCCTCCAGCCCGCTCTTACTCTGGCCGTGGGTCTCCGCCCCCGCCCCAGGGCCTTTGCACCCCCTGCACCCTCTGTCCAGAGCCTGGGACGACCGGATCTCTGTGTCTCCCTTGTGGTCTGTTTTAAGGGTGCGCTCAGAGGGCTTCTCGGCCCCCTCACCCCCACCGCTTACTCCTCCTTTTCTCCACAGTCCCCGCGTGTCAGCCAGTGCGCCCTGTTTTTGCCCGTCTCCTGACTAAAGGGTGAGGGCCCCAGGCCGGGAGTTTCGTCTGGTTAGGCTGACGCAGTGGGGGGACCTTTAGGCCTTAATCAGCTCAATAAAGACTGAGAGGGCACCCCCACTGCCCGGGGCACCCTGGGGCACAGTGGGTGCAGCAGAGGCGGAGTGAGGGGGCAGCTCAGATGGGCGCCCTGGGCTGGGTCGAGGGGCTCAACTAGGCGGTGAGCGGGCGAGAGCAGGCGAAGAAAGGGGTGTCAGAAGGAGCTGGGGAGGGGCCGCAGGAGGGGACAATGAAAAAAGGGGGTGCTGTGCATTGGCAGGCGAGGCTGGAGGAGGCAGAGGCCGGGCTGGGCTCTGCTGAGAGACTGAGCAGGGACGAGGAGGCGCCCGGGGCGCGGCCCAGACACAGGACCCAGCCCGAGGGCAGCCGGGTGCGCAGGCTGGTGCCAGTGGCAGGCTGGTGCCAG